TTTCCTGGAACTGGGCTTACAGACAGTTGTTAGCTGTCATGTAGGTGCTGGGAACTGAAAACCTGGTCCTTTGTGAGAGCAGTCAGAGCTCTTAAATGCTGAGCCATCTCAGCCCCCTTTAAAAACATTTTAAATTTATTTTTAAACTTTTAAAAAAAACTATTATTTTTATATTTTTATGAGTACGCATGTATTTCCTGCATGTAGGTAAGTGCACCCGTGTCGTGCAATGCCCACGGAGGACAGAAGATGCTGTCAGATCCCCTGGAACTGGAGTTACAGATAGTTGTTAACTGCCATGTGGGTGCTGGGATTCGAACCTGGGTCTTCTGCAAGAACTGCCAGTGCTCTTTGTTAGAGTCCAGGTCTGCAGATGACCCTCTCCCAGTGTAAAAAGCCTCACAAAACAGGCCATGAGGCCCCCTTGCAAAATAGGAACTGGCCCGACAGCTACATTTAGAGCTGGCTCAGCACAAAGCTGTTCGCCAGATAATTTTGGAAGATTATTAAACAGGTCCCTGCACCCAGACCCAATGATGTAAGAGCTGTCTCAGTTCAAGCTCCTCCCTTGAAACTGTAAAGATTATTTTTGCCACCCTCCACATCCCCCAGCGCCCCCAAAAGCACTTCCTCAGCAGTCAGAAGGTGGCTGGTTGCTTTCTCTCCCCAGCTGAGCTGCCAGCCACCAGCAATCCTAAGAAATAAACTTTGCTTTACTGGAGTCTTCCTATGTTTCCTGTGGCTATTCCCTGCCTGGCTTTTATCTAACATTCTTAACTGCTGAGCCATCTCTCCAGCCCCTACATTTATTTTTAAATATATTTTTTAGTTTTTATTTTATGGGTATGAGTGTATTGCCTGCATGTGTTAAAGTGCACTCATGTTAAGCAATGCCTATGGCGGTTAGAAGAGGGCATCAGATCCCTGAAACAGGAGTTAATGAAAGGTTGTATCTGCCATATGGGTACTAGGAACTGAACCTGGGTCCTCTGCAAGAGAAGCCAGTGCTCTTAACCACTGAGCCATCTTTCCAGCCCATCTTAATTTTCGGGGGGGTGGAGGAGGTGAGACAGGGTCTCACTATGTAGTCCTGTCTGGCCTGGAACTTGCTATGTAGACCAGGCTGGCCTTGAACTCACAGAGATCCACCTGTCTCTGCTTTCCAAGTGCTGGGATTAAAGGCATGAACTACCATGCCTGGCCCATCTTGTTTTTTTTTTTTTAATATTTTATTATTTTTATGTGTATGAGTGTATTGCCTGCATGTATGTAAATACACCTGTGTCGTGCAATGTCCATGGATATCAGAAGAGAGTATCAAATTCCCCTGGAACTGGAGTTATGGAGAGTTGTAAGCCTCTATGTGGATCCTGAGAATCAAACCCGGGTCCTCTGCCAAAAGAGTCAGTGCTCTTAACTGCCCCACCATCTTGTTTTTGGAGACAGGGTCTCTCACTAACCTGGAGCACCTCCATTGGGTGGGCTGGCCGGTCAGTGAGCTCCAGGGATCCACCTGTGTCCACCGTCCCAGCACTGGGGTTCCAGATATGGGCCTGGATTGTACATGGGTTCCGGGAATCTGAACTCAGGTCCTCACGCTTGTGACGCAGACTTTACGGATATCTCCCAGCCTGCTTACATGTTTTAAATCACAAACATTCCCAGTGTCTGAGGGGAACCCTCAAATGGTGCTAATCCCTAGTTCTGTTGAGAATCTTGGACAGACAGCTGCTCCCTTTCTGTAGTCTGCGTTAGAAAATGGTCCTGTCTTTTAACTGCGTAGCCAGACATTACATAGGCTCATCCAACCTCATATACCACATTTGCCAGGGATTTAAACATCATTTTGTATAGCTCCATGAGTTCATGAGCCTAGAGATGAAAGCACAAATGATCGGTGACTGTTAGAAGACAGTGCCCAGCTCCTTGCACTGAAAATGGCAAAGGTGGGCTGGAGAGATGGCTCAGTGATTCAGAGCACCAGCAGCTCTTGTTGAAGACCTGGGTTCTGTTCCAAGCACCCACATGGAGGCTAACAACCATCTGTAACTCCAGTTCCAGTGGATCCAATGCCCTCTTCTGGCCTCCCTGGGCATTGCATGACATGGGTGCACTTACATACATGCAGGCAAGACACTCATACACATAAAATAAAAATAATAAAATAAGCTGGGCATGGTGGTGCACACCTGTAGTCCCAGCACTTGGGAGGCAGAGGCAGGTGGATCTTTGTGAATTCAAGGGACAGGGAGACCCTGTCTCAAAAAAGACCAAAATAATAATAATAATAATAATAAAAAAATATTTTCACCCCAAAAGGAAATTGACAAAGGTGAAGAATAAAGCACTTATTTGTCCTACATAAACTGAACCACTAAAGAATCAAAATGCAGGTAAGAGAGTTCTGTCAGTAAGAGCTAGCAGTCAGCCTGTGACAGCTGGTGTGAGGCCCTGAGTTCCAGCTCCACCGTCATGCACTTTTATGTATGTGTGCTTGTACACACACACACACACACACACACACACACACACAATGAGAATATTGAACTCTAAGATATGATCACAGTGTGTTAATGGATTTAGACATGGTGAGCCAGGTGTGGGAGTAAGAGGACTAGGAGTTTCAGGTCAGCTTCAGCTACATAGTGCATGAAGCCTTGTCACAAAACAAAGGCAGATCTTTTTATTGAAAAATAATTTATGGGCTCTGGAGATGACTCAGCGGGTAAAGTGCTTGCCATGCAGGTATGAGGATCTGAGTTCAAATCCCAAGACCCCATATAGAAGCAGGGCACAGCAGTATAGGTCTGTAACCCCAGTGCTGGGGGCAGCGTGGGGACTGGAGGATCCCTGGAGCCTGATGGCCAGCTACTGTAGCTGAATTGGGGTGCTTCAGGTTTAGTGACAGACTCTGCCTCAAAAAAGAAGATGGCCATCAAAGCCACCAAAGTATGGAAATAAAAATGATGCAGCGTTTATGAGGCAATCGGAAATCTGAACATCAACTGACCTTGTGATGATATTGTTGGGTGAGATCGTGGCTGTATTATCTTGAGTGGGAAACTGTTGAGGATGAATAGTGGGTACTCACTGCTGGTAAGAAGTCTGTTACACCACCTTGTCTCCTTTGGCATTTGCTGCACTTGAAGTTTCTCATGGAATGTTTTTCTTTCAAGTTGTTACAGCTTCCCGATGTTTCGGTATCGTTGCCCTTCTCCCAACCCTTCGGATCATTATCCTAGACAATCTTCTGTCAACTTCAAATAGCCTGGGAACATAATTAATCCATTGGCATCTCTCTGTACAGCAATACAGAAGATTATTTCCTGGACCACCTTTAACCCTGAAAATACTAAGTACCTTTGAGTAAGATGAGGATACCTTGAGGAGCCGGGCATGGTGGTGCATGCCTTTAATCCTAGCACATATATACATAGAGTGTGTGTGTGTGTGTGTGTGTTGACATGTAAGGAATTTCCACTATTGGCACAAAGAAGATGGTTAAGTTCTTGGCCATCAGGTTAATTTTTCACATAGAACCTCTTTCAGTGTTGTTGAAGGCTAATATAAATATTTGTGGGAGAAAGGGAACTTGTTTTCCATTATTCGGTAAGCCAGTGCTGAGACTGTTTAGCAGGGTTAGGGTGAATGTTTGCATAGACCTGGGAATGGTCTAGACTTGCATACTGGACCACAGGGATGTAGAAACAGGAGAGAATGAGAGCTACCTCACGTGCTCAAACTTCCAGCTTTTGATGTGAGACCTCTGAAAGAATACCAAGAAACTGGCTGTCTCTGGGGAGGGAAGCTGGGGGGGGCACTTGGGTGAAGGAGGGGGAGGTGCCGCTCTATGTTGCTGTGGTTGGGTTATACTGTGCTGGAGCCATAAAATATATGAGGCCATTTTGCAAACAGCCTTTTGTTGACATAAGTGACTATACCTTTTATCTTTGAAGTAGACAGAAGGCAGGTGTCTGTTTATGGGTCCCTCGGCTGGGTCAGCGGCTGGCCACCACCACCACCCTGCTTGCATAGTTTTTGGTGATCTCTTGCCATCTCTTTTCCCACATTAGCTTCTTGGAATCTAATTAGTAGGGGTGGATGACCCCTGGAACAGACAGGCACAATCTAGTAGTTACAACGTCTACGGGGCAGTCTGATGTTGAGAAAAACTGGACTTTTCACAGGCTCGATGGCACTGCTTTGGGGGATCCTGTACTTGGTGATCTAGCACTTTGTTTTTACGGAGTGTGAAGTTAGAAGGGAAAAAGTCTTAATCTCCTGTGGCTCAAGCAGCCTGCGTGCTGCTGCGGACCCCTCAAGTCCGCATCCAGTTTTTTTCTTGCTTTTTCATCTTTATTTAGATTTTTGAACAATAAAGGTCTAGTCGAGACCTTTATTCTTCCTGCCTCAGCTTCATTAGGACAGAGATAACAGGCATGTGTCACCCTGCCCAGCCTGTTTAGTGTGGGGGTGTTTGGTTTTCTTCTTTTCCAGTGCTGAGGCTCAAACACGGGTTTGCATGGCACATGTGAGGCACTCACCCGATCACTGAGCTGCACCCTAGCCTCGGTTTGGGTTCACACACTGCAGCTGGCCTGGAACGCCCTATGCAGACCAGGCTGGCCTTGAACTCACGGAGATCCGCCTGCCTCTGCCTCCCCGCTCTGGGATCCAAAGGCGTGCGCCACCACGCCCGGCCAAGTTTGACTCATCTCGGTAATATATGCAAAATGCTACTTTCCTGTGTTTCTGCTTTTGTTAAATAAGGAATGCAGGGAAGACGTCTTCACCGCCGGAATTCTGGGTAGACCAGGCTGGCCTCGACCCTGCAGGCCCACAGGTTTCCCTCCCACATCCACAAGGGACCGGGACGGGACCAAAGCGGGGGTCCGACCGCGCATGCGCATGCCCGCCCGCGCGCCCGGGACGCTCCGGTAGGGGGCGGCAGCGCCAGCCGAAGGTGTAGCCCTGTCGTGCACACGCGGCGTAACGCTGCTTCGCTTTACGGCACTCCGCTTCCGCCGTACAGCGGGCGCCCACGTGCGTGCGGACGCCGCCGCTTCCTGATCTCCGCTCCGCGGCACGGGCGGCTATGGGCAAGCGCGGGAGCCGCGGCCGCAGCCTGTTGCTCGGCACCCTGACCAAGAAGCAGAAGAAGCACCTCCGCGACTTCGGCGAGGAGCACCCCTTCTACGACAGGTGGGGCCCGGGACACGGCCTCGGCGTGCGCAGCACCGGGCACAGTACCCGCCTCGGGGCCTGTCTACAGCACCCGCCTCGGGCGCCCTGTCTATAGCAATGGGCCTAGCACCCACCTCGGGGGCTCTGTCTACATCACCGGGCCCACTACCCACCTGGGGGGAGGAGCTGTCTGTGGTACTGGTCCAGCACCCACTTAGGAGGTCCTGTCCACATAACTGGGTCTAGCACCCACCTTGGGGGGCCGTGTCTACAGCACTGGGCATAACACCCGCCTCGGGCTACTCTGTCTGTAGTATTGGGCCTGTCTTCACAGGGACCAGCTGGTTGCTTTCTAAGAAAGCTGGCACTTGGACTAGGCAGGAGGATCTCAAGTTAGAGTCCAGACAGGGCCAAGTCAGGGTCTCAAAAACAAGACAAAGAATGAGAAAAAAAGTTTAGGGAGAGGTGAGCCCTGGTTGTGTCATTTGAGAGCCAGTTTCTGTGTGATTTGTTCTTATGTGATGCTGCTAAATCTACTTGTTGAGTTCTTGTCATCCCTCTCCCTGTGTTTGTGGAGTTTTTGTAATGACTAATCGTTGTAATGGGTTCTGCATTATTTTTTTCTCTTAAGTTGACTTTAGTAGGCCTTTTAATGTCATTATTGTGAAGTGGTGCCTAAAATTTAACATCCATCTCTTTCAGGGTTTCCAGAAAGGATGCAAAACCACAGATTTGTCAACTGGTAATGCTTTTTTCTTTGTCTTAGTTGGAACTGGATTATTACTTATGGGTTGTATGTAGGACTAAAGCTTAGATACAGGGGCTGGAGAGATGGCTCAACAGTTAAGAGCCCTGACTGCTCTTGTAGAGGACCGGGCACCCACATGGCGGCTACAAACCGTCCTTAACTCCAGTTCCAGGGGAATCTGACACCCTCTTCTGACCTCTGCAGCATTGCACGACACGAGTACACTCAACATACATGACATACATGCAGGCAATACACTCATACACAAAATAAAAATAAAAAATATTAAAAAAAAACTTAGATACATTGCTTTCTGTTTTAGATGTAGCTGTGATTTTAGCAGTGTTGCTTAGTTTTAAAAGATGGAGATGTCTGTAAAAATTCCATGGTGATAACCAAAGCCAGAATTGGAAAGTACCCTGAGGCACTGACCTGTTAGGCCCTCTTGAAGAGGGTCACCAGAGTGCTGGCTCTTAGTGTGGCCTAAGAGAGCATCATGGGTTTTTTTTAAAGAACTCTCAGTATAAAATGGACAGCAGGCCTGTCACATTACAGCAAACTCAGATTGTCCTCGTTTTGTTTTTAATTTACTCCTTGACACATGAAGCCTAATGTCTGAGATGGAGGTTAAATCCCATAGCCTAAAATTCTGTTTGAAAAGTCAGTTTTCTTTCCCTGTGCAGCTGTTAGAGCTGGAACCTTAGCTTGACTGACTGTTTTACTTACGTTTGGTGCTGGGTTTGGTTGGATAAATGAGACTGCATCGTAATTGCAGAGAAGCTCATTTGGGTTTTTCATTTGTTTTGTTTGCTTTTTGTGTGTATTCATTGTACAAAATAGTGAGTTTCTAAAGAAATGGCATTACTCATTCACTGGATCCCCTGGGGAGTGGTAAATGCACGACATGTAACATTTTCATATATGTAAATCATACGCCTGTCACTCTGGGCTCTTCCCTTCCCTTTGCTGGTCACCTCTCTTCCCAAATACTCCTAATTTCATGCCCCCCCCCCCCAAAATCTAACTTCCACATATGAAACAGTGATGTTTGTCTTTCTGAGTCTGGCTTATTTTTACTTAATGATTACCTGTTCCATCCATTTCCCTGCAGCACATGACATAATTTCATTAATTATGGCTGCGGCAACTCCATTGTGTGTGTGCGTGCACATGTGTGCATGTGTGCACATCATGTATGGTGCCTTATCACTTGCATATCTCACTTTCTTTGCATCTGCTGATGGAAGCTAGGAAGGTTTCATGACTGGAGAACAGCGTCTGTTGTTGCTCTGCTTGTGTGCTTTGTGTGCCTGATCAGCGTGCCGGCCGCAGCATGTGTGTGGAGCTCCGAGGACAACTCTGGCGTTGGTTCGCTCCTACCTTGTGGGCCCCAGGTACTGAACTCAGGTTGTCAGTCTTGGTGGCAAGTAACTTTATGCAGTGAGCTATCTCACTAGCCTAGGAAGAGTTTGTATTTAAGGAACACAGAACCTGCTTGCTTGGTGGCTAGTGGTCTTCTTGTGACAGCGAAAACGATGTAACTTTTGTTTTCTAAAACTCCCATTTTCCTTTTAGTCAGAGAGTTCAGATACTTCACATTCTGACAGTGAATCAGAGAGTGAACAAGAGCATGTTTCAGGGTACAACAAACTACTTGCTTCATTGAAGAATGTTTCTGAGGAAGAAGAGGATGAAGAGGAGGAGGAAGAGGAAGAAGGCAGTGTTGTAGATGATGCAGAAGTGAGCGACGGAGGTGGTGGTGAGGATGCCAGCGTGGAAGGAGAAACAGCCGCAGAGCCAGCTGAGACGCAGGGGGGTAAGTGTTGGCCTTGGCTCATCGGCTTTGCGAGGGCAGACTGCTCCAAGCTGCGTACGCTGCGTCCTCCTCACATGGGTCCAAAGCAGGAATTCGGCCTTCCTGGTTTGGTTATGTTTTAAGGATCTGGAGGGGACAAAGGACCCTCTCATTAGAAAAATGTAGACATGCCACGTACTTGCTCTTTCAGGGACTCACTGAGCCTAAGATGGCCTGGCTTACAAGTGGAATATAATTCTGTCACTGTGACAGATAGCTCAGTTAAGATAAGAAGTTATTCAATTTCAATAAGAGATAAGTGTGATGGGAGGTAGATGTAAAAATACACAGAAATTTCCAAGCGCCAGATTTGTGTTTGCACGGAACAGCTAGAGGTGACAGCACAGAGGTGTACTTGTATCCATGGGGTTCGTCCCCCAGGACAGGACTGGAATGGGCCGCCATCTCAGAACTCAGACTCCTCGGTCACTGCCCTGCCCCATGCTGGGGCCCAAACCCAGGACCTGGTACATCCTGGACAGGCGCTGTACCACTGAGCTACTTCCCTAGCCCTTGGGTACCTGTGAGTCAGGGTCTTGCTGTGTGTCCCAGACCAGCTTTGAACTCATGATTCTAATACCTCTGCTCCCAAGGGCTGGGAGTACAGGTGTGTGCCAGCATGCCTGCCACACTACCAGGTATGTCTGATGACTTTCACACTTGCTATCTCGGTCCTGTTTTCTTTACAGTCTCCGCTTCTTGACTTTTTCCTTTAAAATCAGCTTCATTGCAGTATTTTACATGCAATAAAATGGACTCAGTTTGGGCTGGTGAGAGACGGCTCAGTGGGTAAAAGTGCTTGCTGCACAAGCCTGATGGCGTGAGTTGGGTTCCTTAGAACCCACATAAAGGTAGAAGGAGAGAACCAACTCCACAAAGTTGTACTTGATCTCCACATGCACACTGAGGTGCACACGCCCCCCCCATACAAACGATAAAATAAATACAGTGTACCTGATTGTTGTATACAGTTTGAGCTTTGACAGGTATGTACCTCCCAGTGTCTCCAGAAACTCCATTTTACCCTTGGCCCCCGTTCCCCACCCTGGACAGATACCCACTGAGTTGACGCTTTTCTCTGTGGATTAGGTTTTACTCATTACAGAAATTATGTGTGAACACTATCTACTGTTTTTGAAACAGTCTCACTTTGTGAGGCCAGCCGTGAATTTACTGTGTAGCCCACACTAGCCTCTAAGTTATGACAGTCCTGCCTCAGCCTGCCCCCCCCGCCCCCCAGGGTTTGGATTACAGGTGTGCCCCACCCCGTCTGGCTTTGTCCATCTTTGACCCTTGATGTTACTATGATTCATGTCTGTGTGGTTTTAATTTATTATGTATATATGCCCGTGTATATATGGGTACCACGTGCATGCAGACAGTTGTGAGCTGCCATGTGGGTGCTGGGAATAACCTGGGTCCTCTGGAAGAGCAACAGTGGTCTGAACCTCTGAGCCATGGCTCCAGTCCCTCATTGGTGTTCTTAATTCTCACCTTTTTATTGCTGGGGTGCCACACTACCAGGTATGTCTGATAACTTTCACACTTGCTATCTCAGTCCTGTTTTCTTTACAGTCTCCGTTTCTTTTTTTAGGACAGGGTCTTCCTGTATAGACCTGGTTGGCCTGGAACTCACTGTGTAGACCAGGCTGGCCTAAAAGTCACAGAGGTCCATCTCCCTCTCGAATGCTAAGATTAAAGGTGTGGGCCCCTCTTGCCTTTGTTCTGCTCAAGTCTTCAGCAGATTGGATGAGGCCCACCACATTGAGAAAGGCTGGAGGTGGAGCTCAGTTGGTGGAATGAATGCCTGCCTGGCATGCACAGAGCCCTGGCTTCGTCCCCAGCACTGCATAGCCTGGGCATGGTGGAGCACTCAGGAGATAGTGACAGAAGAGTCAAAAGTTCAAAGTCATCCTCAGCCCTAAGTGAGTTTTAAGACCAGCCTGAGCTACGTGAGACCGTCTCAAAAAAAGAGAAGAAAAAAAATTTGCTTGCATTGAAGAGTCACGTGCCTTCCTGGAAGTCCCCATTTTTAACATAAATCTCATGCAGAAACATCCGAAGCAGCACTTGAGCACACCTGCAGGTTCCAGGGCCAGCTCAGTTACAGAACTGACCATCACCCGAGTCATTGGTCAGGACTAATTCTAAAGGGTGGCTTCCATTGAGTTACCTGATTATCCTTTAAAAATAACAGGGCGTACATCCACAAATGGTATGACTCAGCATTTCGGTATGAGTGGACAATTTTACGACTGTTTCTCAACATTTCAGGTGGGGCCTTAGCTGCTGACTTGGAGGGGAAGGACTGGGAAGAGCCTCCTGGCTCCTCTCAGAAATCCGCAGAGGAGTTCACAGATGACAAGCACGAGTCACTGTTCAGCCTGGAAACCAATTTTCTGGAAGAGGAATGTAGAGACAGCTGTTCCTGGAAAGCGTCCCAGGGTGAGAGTCAGTGAGGGCTCTGGGGACATGTGAACTCTGGTGCTGGTGGGTCCTGTGCTGGTTCCTGTTCAGTCTCCTGGCCTGGAAGGAGCCGTAGTAAAGCCAGCACGTGGTGGTGATGGAGAGCTGGGGACAAGTGCTTCTCAGAGCATCTGTTTGTCAGTAGTTAGTGCAGAGGCCAGGCCTTGTTAGAACAAGGAGCTAGGCAGGGGTGGGGTGAGGGTGGCGGTGTCCTTTTAGCAGGAGTGGAAGAGAAAGGAAAATAGTCCATTTTCTCTCCACGCCCGGCCTTATATTGCTTATTCTCATCTTGTGTATTTAGGGTAGCAATTTTATTTGAAGCTTCCCCATTCTGATCCCTGAGAAAGTTACTTCACATTGTGTTTTGGAAAATGAGTGGACATGGAAGGAGGGTCAGGTGTTAGGCCAGAGCACTCGGTCACCTGCAGTGCATGGAGGGAGAATCGGGTGGCCAGACAGAGCACTCAGTGCTTGCAGGGCAGGTAAGAACATTGGGATCATTGCTAGTTTGGTTGAGTATTAGAATTTGTGTCTCTGCTGTCTAGAGAGTGGTCAGTCGGACATGGAGCCCTCAGGGATCTTTCCGTCTAATACAAGACAGGCACACGTGGGGCTGGATGAGTGAGGCACAGTGTGGGCCGCCCGCAGGATCCTGTGCTGGCCTCCTTGTGGGGCCAGATCTGGGCTTGGCACAGTAGGCCCCTGGGAAGCGCTTACTGTGAGAAGGAACATTACAGTGGGGTGTGCCGAAAGAGGAGGTGAAGGGAAAACTAGAGTTACTGGTGTAAAAGGGAAGGCTCGGAGGCAGAAGAATTTGAGGGACAAGAAGTTTAGAAATTGCTGAAGGGGAGGGTTCAAGTGCAGCTTGTCATGGCCTGAACTTCAGGCTGAGAAGTGTCTTCCAAGGCTTTGGGGACTTAGTGTGATCAGTGTGTGCTTTAGGAAGGTCAGCCTATCAGAAGCTTTTAAGCTTTGCATCAGGCTGGAGGATGGGGAAGCGGATGGGAGGAAGATGCACCAACACCATGAAGATGGTTCTCAGAGGAGACGGGGGATCGGTGTGTTCTCAGAGGAGACTGGGGATCGGTGCGTCCTCAGGAGACTGGGGATCGGTGTGTCCTCAGAGGAGACTGGGGATCGGTGTGTTCTCAGAGGAGATTGGGTTTTAAGCTTTGCATCAGGCTGGAGGATGGGGAAGCGGATGGGAGGAAGATGCACCAACACCATGAAGATGGTTCTCAGAGGAGACGGGGGATCGGTGTGTTCTCAGAGGAGACTGGGGATCGGTGCGTCCTCAGGAGACTGGGGATCGGTGTGTCCTCAGAGGAGACTGGGGATCGGTGTGTTCTCAGAGGAGATTGGGGATCAGTGCGTCCTCAGGAGACTGGGGATCAGTGTGTCCTCAGAGGAGACTGGGGATCGGTGTGTCCTCAGAGGAGACTGGGGATCGGTGTGTCCTCAGAGGAGACTGGGGATCGGTGTGTCCTCAGAGGAGACTGGGGATCGGTGTGTCCTCAGAGGAGACTGGGGATCGGTGTGTCCTCAGAGGAGACTGGGGATCGGTGTGTCCTCAGAGGAGACTGGGGATCGGTGTGTCCTCAGAGGAGACTGGGGATCGGTGTGTCCTCAGAGGAGACTGGGGATCGGTGTGTCCTCAGAGGAGACTGGGGATCGGTGTGTCCTCAGAGGAGACTGGGGATCGGTGTGTCCTCAGAGGAGACTGGGGATCGGTGTGTCCTCAGAGGAGACTGGGGATCGGTGTGTCCTCAGAGGAGACTGGGGATCGGTGTGTCCTCAGAGGAGACTGGGGATCGGTGTGTCCTCAGAGGAGACTGGGGATCGGTGTGTCCTCAGAGGAGACTGGGGATCGGTGTGTCCTCAGAGGAGACTGGGGATCGGTGTGTCCTCAGAGGAGACTGGGGATCGGTGTGTCCTCAGAGGAGACTGGGGATCGGTGTGTCCTCAGAGGAGACTGGGGATCGGTGTGTCCTCAGAGGAGACTGGGGATCGGTGTGTCCTCAGAGGAGACTGGGGATCGGTGTGTCCTCAGAGGAGACTGGGGATCGGTGTGTCCTCAGAGGAGACTGGGGATCGGTGTGTCCTCAGAGGAGACTGGGGATCGGTGTGTCCTCAGAGGAGACTGGGGATCGGTGTGTCCTCAGAGGAGACTGGGGATCGGTGTGTCCTCAGAGGAGACTGGGGATCGGTGTGTCCTCAGAGGAGACTGGGGATCGGTGTGTCCTCAGAGGAGACTGGGGATCGGTGTGTCCTCAGAGGAGACTGGGGATCGGTGTGTCCTCAGAGGAGACTGGGGATCGGTGTGTCCTCAGAGGAGACTGGGGATCGGTGTGTCCTCAGAGGAGACTGGGGATCGGTGTGTCCTCAGAGGAGACTGGGGATCGGTGTGTCCTCAGAGGAGACTGGGGATCGGTGTGTCCTCAGAGGAGACTGGGGATCGGTGTGTCCTCAGAGGAGACTGGGGATCGGTGTGTCCTCAGAGGAGACTGCGTGTGTCCTCAGGAGACTGGGGATCAGTGTGTCCTCAGGAGACTGGGGATCCGTGTGTCCTCAGAGGAGCCTGGGGATCGGTGGGTCCTCAGAGGAGACTGGGGCTCGGTGTGTCCTCAGAGGAGACTGGGGATCGGTGTGTCCTCAGAGGAGACTGGGGCTCGGTGTGTCCTCAGAGGAGACTGGGGCTCGGTGTGTCCTCAGAGGAGACTGGGGCTCGGTGTGTCCTCAGAGGAGACTGGGGCTCGGTGTGTCCTCAGAGGAGACTGGGGATCGGTGTGTCCTCAGAGGAGACTGGGGATCGGTGTGTCCTCAGAGGAGACTGGGGATCGGTGTGTCCTCAAGAGACTGGGGATCAGTGTGTCCTCAGAGGAGACTGGAGATCAGCAGGAGACTGGGAAAACTGCCTTTCACACTCTGATTCTCTGTATTCTGAATTAGATCCATTTCAACAACATGTCAACAAGGAACTGAAAGAAAAGGAAATTGAAGCTGCTGCCACACGCCCTCCAACTACCCACCAACTAAAAGTAAGTGCTGCTTGGTCATCCCAGTCACCAGTAGAAAAGGCCCCACGTAAACAGTGGTCTCCAGAGTGTGGGGTACACCAGTAGTAGATAGCTTGATAGGAAAGTGGGGTGTAGGGTGGCTGAAGAGCCTGGTGCATACGTATGTGGTCAGAACAGGCACTGGGAGGCTAGAGTAGGGGCTGCACAGTGCAGTGATGGTACAGGAGGCTTTGGAGACCAGAGCACAGTGCAGGATCTACATCAGTGCCTCAGCGAGCTGCAGGACCCACCAGAAGCGAGTCCAGTTTGTTGCTCTTCGTTTTTAAATGATTATCATTAGCACGAGTTCATTGTACACGATAATGGTTTTCTTTACAGTTTCATGTGTTTCTGTACTCTGGTCATGTCCCTGCCCGTTCCCTCCTCCTCACTACATCTTCTACTTTCATGTCTTTTTTGGAAGTGTGGCGGCCCACTTTCATTGGGGTTACTTACAGGAGCGTGTCCAGGTTTGGACGCGAGCATTTCCAATTTCTGATTTTTGGATTAGGGGTGCTGAGCCCGTACCAGTATTGCTCACAGTTTGAAATGCCTGAGACAGATTTACAGCGAAATTGCTCAGATCTGGATAGTTTTTACTTCTCTGTTTCACCACTGACACTGTGAGTGAAAATCAGTTTTCTGTTTTTGTTTTGTTTGAGACAGGGTCTTGCTGTTGGGTATAGCTCTTGCAGACCTTAAGTCAGTCCTCTTGCTTCAGCCTCCGAAGTGCTGGGACTTCAGGTGTGAACCACCACAAGCGATCCTGTTGCGGTTCTTTGAGACAGGCTTTCACCATGTAGCCCTGGCTAGCTTGGAATGCACTATGTAGACCAAGCTGACCTGGAACTCACTATGTAGACTAGACTGGCCTGGAACTCACAGAAATCTGCCTGTCTCTGCCTCCCGAGTGCGTGTGCCAACATGCCTGGGTTTTATAATTGCTATTTTTATTGAGTCACAGATGTACACACAGGTGTAAGAAGTCAGGGATGGCTCTTAGGTGTTTTGTCCAATTTCCCAGTGGTAACACAAAGCAGTCATAGTACAATATCACAAGGAATTAGACATGGGCACCATTATGGCTGCCTGGGGATTGAACCCCGGGACTCAGGCATTCTGGGCAGAGTGCTCTACTTCAGCACTCCATCCCCAGCCTTGGGTTTCTTGGGTTTTCTCTACTACGGTGTACTTTCTATAGTTTCATTGTCTCCACCAGCGCAGTCAAGGTACAGAACGCTCCAGCCTCCGTATGGATCCCTGTTCCTCCTTTAGAACCACACTCACCTTCTCCCATGTTGCACTCAAACCCTGATAAGCTGCCGAGCTGGTCTCCGTCGCTGTAAGCTCATCAGTTTACAGCTGCTCAAGACCTTGAGATAGGCTGCTTTGTGTAGCAGGCTTCTCTGGGGTGATCCGCGCTGTTCCAGCTGTCCACGGTTCATTTCCTTTTATTGCCAGAGTTACCCTAACTTTAGATCAGCAGTGTGCTCCAGTGAAATGTTTCTAAACTCATACCCCACAAAATAGTATTCCTTGTAATTCTAATAAGTGTGTCTCAAAAAGAGGTACAGGAAAGAGCACAGTAGGAATTAAGGAAGGGAGGGGAAGGCTCAGCTGAACACTGTCCTCTCCAAGTCAAGGCAGAGCCTTCAGTGTCTGTGGTGAGTTGTTACTCTCCCTGAGGGGATTAGGTTTCCTGTGTTACCCGAGTCCTTTACCACAGAGCCCTTTTTTTATCTGGAATGATTTGGATGCTCCCCAGAACAGTGAGAGAAACAGGATAGAGGAAGAGCTCGGGCCTGAAGCTGGTCTGCAAGTCCCACACCACCTGTGTGACTTGTCTGGACCTCTTGCCTCCGTAAGGCTCAGCATTCCGTACCCCAGACTGTGAGTGCTGAGGCACCTGGGCAGGGCTGGGTGAGGGGAGTGGCAGGATCTGTTGTCATCAAGTTCTTTAAAAGAAGTTGTTTTTTTTTGAACCGGACGTGGTGGCGCACGCCTGTAGTCCCAGCACTTGGGAGGCAGAAGCAGGCGGATCTCTGAGTTCAAGGCCAGCCTGGTCTACATAGTGAGTTCCAGGACAGCTGGGGCTACAGGAAGACCCTGTCTCAAA